GTTATGCACTTTCATTGTATTTGTCGTCTGGTGGTAACGCATTCTCGCAGTGGTTGCCAGGTCTACTGATTTATCCAAAATCTATATACGGATTTTGGGTACCAAACAAACTGTATATGTGTGCATGTTTAATAATACTAGGACTTAGGGCATTGAGGTAGCTATCTATGGCTCAATAGACCCTGGGATTGGCTAGAGCCTCGTTTCTTCAGGTGCCAGGGTTTGTTTCTAACTTTTCAACCCAAGCTGATGTTCCTCGTCTTTCGCATCTGGTGGAGGCCTCGTCTTGTGGTCCCGAGTTCTGTTTGTTGCCAGTGAATTGGCTGAATGGGCGTTGCACTCTCGCTTGTGGTGCTGTAATACAGAGCCCATTGAAGCTCATTACTCACTTCAAAAAGAGTCTCTTCACTTCCTAATTTGAATGCACATTACAAATTGTACCACTTTCGAAAGCTGCTCGCTTCAAATTGTACCACTATCGATTCCGCGTCTTGTTTTGCAGTAAAGCCACTCAATTGTTGAACAGTCCACCTACAGCTTGTGACCACACGAACAAAGGTTCATGCATGCCATGTATTCGCGAGCGTATCCAATGATCACAAGTCCACGAATCACAGACCCTTTCCTTCCCTCTATCAAAGACCTAACGCGGCCGATTTGACACTGGCGATCACTACCTTGAACCAGCGGCAGGCGCTATTTACAGGCAGGTAAGGTAACTCCACCTATGACGGGACGCTGCCGTCCGGCAGCGAAATCTCTACGCATGTTCCACGAGCTCTGGAGCCCCACCATTATATGCATCTTCAGCAGTTTCCACACCGGCGTCTACGAGCCACGCCTCTTTCTATGAGCACGCCTATTTAGCGTCCCTCGGTCGCCGTGTTCAACGAGCACACCCTATCATCATCTCGATCGCCCTAACGCGGACTGTTCGGGCCGCAATAATATCCACCCTGGGTTCTCTACGCCAATATTCTTCTTCGTTTCCCACATGGCTGAGGGTGTATTGCTTGCAACGGCAATAGCGCTGTCTAGTGTTTCAAGAGGGAGAGTGCACAGTAAATCCTCTATACAGCACCTGTGAAGACCACTTTGGGATCAGACTGGGGAACTTGTGATGGAGGTTTTTTGACATGATGGCAGCATTTAATCTGTGGAGATGAGATAGCCCAGCTACCAATGAATGAAGGTGGATAAGATACTATTCACTGCATCCCCCGTATTTTAATGGACTAACTCTGAGTGTGTTTGTCGTCAACTTTCTGTCCACTTAGTGACTCCCCTGAACCACTTGGTTTACCACCATCAGCATTCAAGGTTTGGTTTATCACCTGATTGATCATTGTCTTGTGGGTATTAGAAAGCACTAACAGGCACCCTGGCGCTCCTGGTGTGGTGGGGGGGGTGTGGGGGGTGTGATCTCCGGATTGGTGTAACGATATTTGTGGGCTATTGTGGTGTTTGGGTGTTTGCTGTTGTTTTTGTACGTGTGATGTGTGGGTTTGTGTGTTTCCGATACTATTGTCATTCCTGTAGTCCTTCCGTTTGTGTCAGTTCCCCCCGACCTCCCTGCACTGTTAGTGCGTACCCCGCGCCCGTCCCTCACCCTACTCCATCGGCTGCCCCTCTTACTCCCCCTGTGGCGCGTTCGCCACTCACTTCGTGACTTTTCTCCCCTGTCCCCACCCCCCCCCTCCTCACTTCGCGTCCCCTCCTCCAGTCACACGACTGCCAGCTATAGACTCCGAATGGAGATATCAGCAAGTCAATTTTGTTGGTGTTGGGCCATATGTGATAAACTTCCTCCACTTACTCTGGATTGGTATGGCAATATACTCTTGTACTATGTCATGAACTTCCTTATTGTTGCCATACTTGATTTTTCCAGACGGTTTTCTTTTATTCTGGTGAAAATCCAAATCAAGCTTATCCAGGTATAACAATGCAAAAAGAGAATTATGTTACTTGAGTGCTTAGCAGGTCTGTGCAGCTACAAGTCCCACTTGGAATATACATTTACACCAACTTGTCACAAGGAAGACATTTCACTTTGGATGGCTAATGTTGCTGTGATGGACTAAAAACCCTAAACTTTCCTTACCGTAATGTCAAATTTAATAAGACTTATAAAGTAAACTGTGGGATCAATGGAACTGTATGTTTTCATTTACTGCCAAATTTTTAGTAAGTGTTCTGCGACAAATTCGACATGAGAAGGTGTCATTGTTATGGAAATGTGAATGACACACAATATTGTAGTAAGTAATTAAGCACAACTGTGTGTGGATAGACTATGTGTTTGTTTGTCCGATATAGGTTTTATGTGTACTGCAGTACATTTGATGTCCAGGAAGTGAGATAGAAGAGAAGAGCAGAGTACATGAGATAGCATGTTACTTTGGCTCCTGGGTCACAGACCAAGGTTGTCGAAGTAGGTTTATATCCAGAGGAAGAGGTGGAGACTGTGAAGTAACACAACAGCAGCAGAGACGGAGGAGCTGGAGATGCTGTAGTGAATGTGGAGCTACCAGCGGAGAGTATTCAGTGGCTGTCTATGATGATGAGGAGGTGAAGACTGTATGTCAAGAAGAATCCTGCTGTACACCACTACTCTATCGTCTCTGTACATGGACCTTTGGTACAGACCCTGCCGCACAACATATCAACCCTAGTTTTTCAAATATATGCTGTTGTGGTAATGCAGGTTGTATAGATCTATCGACCGTAGCTGAAAAACAATGCAAGTTTATGATACTACCATTCTTATAAGTTACCACTTCTCCCACAGGTGGCAGCAGTGACGTTTATTCTGGTGGATGCTGTTCCACTGATGTGTTTTTGTGTGACCATCACCACCCTTTCCATTACTATAACGGTATATTCTCACGGACGAATTCGAAGGTGAGTCGTATAGGTTCAAGACTGATCGGATCAATCACCTAATGGCATGGTGTGTTTTTACAACCTTTTATTCCTCCCAAGGTTCTCAATGACAACCTTTCTCCTGTTTACTTTTCTCAGAGGAGTGAGGAATCAACAGCCCATTCAAGCCCCCCCCCCCCCCCCCCCCCCCCCTCAGCAAACACCACAAATTCACTCAGGGACAACAACCCGTGGTATGTGGTCCAAAAAAAACAAACACCCCCTTCCTGTGTCTCTCACAGACGCAACAACCACAACGAACAAACACAGGAGTCATCATGTAGCAGAGTTTGATATTGACCACAACCCTCTGTCATGCTCCTACCAGGGCTCAGCACAAGAACAATCCCAGTGGAGACCATGAATATGACACTGTTCAGCATTACCTGTGACTCCAGTTTTCATGTGATGCCATGTAGTTTGACGTGACATTAATTCCATTATGTTTTGTACTTAGCTATAAAAGAATGGTGTAACAAGGTCCCGGAAGTTTGCTTGCCTATCACGAATGACTGTAGTCTTATACATGAACACGCGGGTTCAGGAAAAGAATGGCAGGTGATCGTCAGTTTGACATAAACATGTACATTGTATTATGCAATGTGTGTGGGATCTGAATAATGGCATACAAGGTTTATATTATTATATAAAGTGTTTGCAGAATCAACGACATTCTATCATATTTTTCCCCCTTTTCCTCTCTGGATGTGGGGTCGGGGCACGAGACTGCCACTGCCAATAGGGGAACATTTGAATTGAGATGGGGAAGGAAGTGTTGTGATTCAGTGGGACTTGTGATCATTGGGATACGCTCGTCGAATACATGGCATGCGTGACCTTTGTGCTTTGTGGTCACAAGCTTTAGGTGACATTCACAATATTTGAGTGGCTGTACTGAAAACACCTACGACTGCTGGACGATAGGATAGTGGTACAATTTGAAGCGAGCAGCTTTCGAGTGGTAACAATTTGATATGAGCAATTCAAATTAGGACGTGAGAGGACTCTAGTTTCTGAAGTGAGTATGAGCTCAATGGCTGCGAGATTACGATCACAACAAGCGAGAGAGTAACGCATTCAGCATTCACTGGCAAACAAAACAGACCCAGGGACGTTTTGCAACCCACACATTGCACACAAGCAGAGGCCTCAGCAGCCCAGCATCGACTGAGAACACGAGGAACCATCAGCTTGGGGCCTGTGTCACCTGCATCGGTAGCTGAAGATCAGAGGCATCTAGCTTGACATCAGTTGTCTCTGAGCCATTGATACCTATATCACCCTCATCTGTGTGCAATTATATCCTGATTGGTTGCGAAACGTGAGATACTGTTACACAGCTACACATACAACGAGAATGCCCACAATAGGTCCCTGCCGCTCGCAAACATGCCCTACATTTGTCTGGTCAGCCTCAATTGGTTGTGTGTGGTTTTTTTAAGTTCCTGTGTCTTAACCTCGAAAATTACCTTCGTACCCTCTTATATGTGCATAAACAAATTTTCAATGGGTGATACACTGGATAATAATTATGTTGTGTAACTGGAGACAAATGGGAAGAAGAGAGCAAAGTTGGTGACGAAACTACATGCGCATCACTTCTTAGTTCATTACCAGATGTCAAGGTAATGGCTGAACAGTTTCATATTCATGGTCTCCACTGGGATTGTTCTTGTGCTGAGGCCTGGTATGGAGCATGTACAGAGGGTTGTGGTCCATATCAAACTCTGACTCTGCTGCGTGTTTTGTTGTTGTTGTTGTTCTGTGAGAGACACAGACTGGGGGTGTTTGTGGACCACATACACTGGGTTATGGTCCATAGTGAATTGGTTATTCCTCACACCTCTAAAGACAGAAAAAATAGTGAAAGGAATGCCAAAGTTTTTTATTAAAAGTTTGGGAGAAAAGGAGTTCTAAACTGAGATGATAGACACCGACCTCACAACATGACAGTATACCCCTGCTGCAAGACAATTGCCCATCACTCACCTTGCTGATACACTTTCAGAGATGTTTTCCCTACTACAGAACATATGTTAAGAGCAACAGATGTGAATGTGGTATAGCTTTACAATACATTTTCTGACAAAAACCACAAGGAAGTTGACTGCGATGGAGGGGGGGTTTAAAAAACCGCAATGAGAGCCACTGTACTGACTGTCCCAATCACTACAAGTCCTGAAGATTCATAATAAACCACATGACGTAAAAATTTACTCAACTCACGATGGTTCTCTTCACTGTCACTTGTTGATTCAGTCTCCTTGTCAAACACACAGCCTGCATGTATCAGCAACATTAGGGTGACATTGATGCATGACACACTCTTACAGGCCATACCTACAACAGACGTAGTAGTAGCACCAGGGATAAAGAGAGTGGTGGTATAAGCTGGATTCTCTTCAGTCACTTGTTATCTTAGAGACTGACCCACTGAAAACTGTTCCTGCTGGTCAGGTAGTTCCACATTCACTACAGCCATCTCCAGCTCCTCCAGTATTGCAGCAGTTGTGTTAATCCACAGCTCCCCTCTCACTCTAGGTTATAACTATTCTACAACCCTTGGTCTGTGACCCAGGAGCAAAGTAACATGTTATCTCATGTCCGCTTTGTTTTATCTCCACTTTCTGGACATCAAATGTACATGCAGTATACCAAAATATATCGACAAACAAGAACTCCTAGTGGGAATTCACTAATGACAACGGTTTGGAAGTTAATGAGCCCTGCCGCTATGTGTCACCATCCACCTGCTACATATACCTAGCTACATACTAGTGTGCATAGCAACAATTACAAACATGCTTACACGACACATACTCATGTCGAACTTGTATCAGAACGCTTACTAAAACTTTGGCTGTACATGAAAACATCCGGCCATTGACTCCCACAATACTTATAAACGTTCATTAAATCTGACATTCGGTAGGAAATATTAGGGTTGTTAGTCATCACAGCAACATTAGCCATCAAGTGAATGTCTTCTTTGTAAAAGTATGGTTAAATGTAGATTCCAAAGTGATTGGTAGCTGCAAAGACCTGTAGCACTCAACGTAACATACATTTCCTCTTGCATGTTATACATGAAAGCTGATTACTGGGTTTTCACCAAGATTAAAAGAAAATTCGTCAAATTGAAAAATCAAGTACTGTGCAACATTAAAAAAGTTCATTACGTAGTAAAAAAAGGGAATATATTACCATACCATCCAGAGTCAGTCGAGGACTGGTATACTTGTCTCCCACACCAACAACATTGACTGCTGCTATCTCCACTTGATAGTCAGATAGCTGGCAGTCTTGTGACTGGAGGAGGTACTCAGTGTCTGTTGTGTTGACAGTGAGCACAGAGTGATGGTCCTCCGTGTTGATAATGGTCACTAGATAGTGGGAGATGTCTGGCTCCACATTAGTGATATTGTGAGAGAACGGAGGACTCCAGCTGAACAGTATGGACCTGTCTCCATTTGTGTACTCCACATCAGGAGCTGACAGAAGACCTGGTATTATGAAGACAACAAGATGTTACACCTATCATTAGCTACACAGCTGATACCTTGAATGATTATTGTGAGCTGTATAGGCTCAAAGGAGTTGCTGGGTTCAACGGTATCAAAAACAACACATCTCAAACTGGTATTGTTGATGTCGTCTGTTGCTGTAAATGTGATTCTTTTTCCTTTCGTTTCATCATCTAATATCTCTTCTTCTCCCACAACAAATCCATCTCCAGCTGGTCCTCCATTAGCAATCCATCTGATCAGATAACGTTCTTCAGTGGGTGCTGTACAGAGAATACTGTGTTCCTCTCCCTCTGGCAACACTAGCTGCTCTTCTGCAGCGCCGTGATATAGCAAAGTCGCTACGAAGATCACTTTCAACAGCCTTGGCTCCATAGTACACAGGACTGAGGACCCGCGGACGTAAAGCCACATACACAAGCTATATATAATTATATATAGCCTCGCGGAGCCACGCCTTCCGTGCGCGCGAGAGAGAATAGCCTCTGGTGATGATGAACTGGCAAGCACGATCGTCATTGACAATGTGTTAGCATACGCGCGGTTGTCGTCCAACATGGTGGGTAGTCTCGCGTAGCCATCCCCTCTCAAAAAGGAGAGAGCCATAGCCCTAGCCACGCCTACTGCAAAGGGGTCTACTACTACACGCTGCCCATCGCGAGCTAGCCAGCGACAGAACTCTTCGTCCAATTAGCTGCACTCTTCGGTGCTGACCGAGGCTGTATATACTGCTTCTATTCTTCGTGGTTGGCAAAGGTGCAAGCTGCAGCTAGGATGGCTCGTATCATTGTGTGCTCGCTCCCGCTCGCCAAAAAAGCCCTGCACAGTAATTGAACTTTGGTTGTCACTATTCTGCTGTTGGTATCGGTCTTACGCCTAGCTCCGGCTCCTCGTAGGCTGTAGAGCTGTATATAGTAGTAGTAGACCGACAGACCCTCGCTGCGCATGCGCGCCGAGGGGGTAAAACGTTATGCCGAGCCCCACCCAATGACATGTAAGTGCGCCATGCGTATGTTGTTTCGTTCGCAGGTCCAGCATACTATGGAGATGAAAGTGATTTTCGCAGCGTCTTTGCTAGGAATATTATATCACGGCGCAGTGCAGAAGAGCAGCTAGTGTTGCCAGAGGGAGAGGAACACAGTATTCTCTGTACAGCACCCAATGAAGAAACTATCTGATCACCTGGGTAGCTAACGTAGGACCAGTTGGAGATGGATTTGTTGTGGGGGAAGAAGAGATATTTGATGATGAACGAAAGGAAAAAGAATCACATTTACAGCAACAGACGACATCAACAGTACCAGTTTGAAATGTGTTGTTTCTGATACCTTTTGAAGCCAGCAACTCCTTTGAGCCTATACAGCTCACAATCATTATTCAAGGTGTCAGCTGTGTAGCTAATGATAGGTGTAACATCTTGTTGTCTTCATAATACCAGGTCTTCTGTCAGCTCCTGATGTGGAGTACACAAAGGGAGACAGGTCCATACTGTTCAGCTGGAGTCCTCCGTTCTCTCACAACATCACTGATGTGGAGCCAGACATCTCCCACTATCTAGTGACCATTATCAACATGGAGGACCATCACTCTGTGCTCACTGTCAACACAACAGACACTGAGTACCTCCTCCAGTCACAAGACTGCCAGCTATCTGACTACCAAGTGGAGATAGCAGCAGTCAATGTTGTTGGTGTGGGAGACAAGTATACCAGTCCTCCACTGACTCTGGATGGTATGGTAATATATTGCCTTTTGAACTACGTAATGAATTACTTTATTGTTGCACAGTACTTGATTTTTCAGACGAATTTTTCTTTTAATCTTGGTGAAAACCCAGTAATCAGCTTTCAGGTATAACAATGCAACAAGAGAATGTATGTTACTTTGAGTGCTTACAGGTCTCTGCAAGCTGCCAAGTCACTTTGGAATATAAATTTAAACCAACTTTTACAACAGAAGATATTCACTTGATGACCAATGTTGCTGATATTGACGGACTAACAACCCTTAACATTTCCTTACCGAATGTCAAATTCAATGAACGTTATAAAGTAACTGTGGGAGTCAATGGAACTGATGTTTTCATGTACAGCCAAAGTTTTAGTAAGTGCTCTGAGTATAAAAGTGCGACATGAGTATGTGTCGTGTAAGCATGTTATTGTAATTGGGTTGTTATGCACACTATAGTATGTAGCTAGGTATGTAGCAGGCGTGGGCAGTGACACATAGCTTGGCTCATTAACCACCAATGATTGTGATTAGACGGGTGTGAATAGACTAGGAGTTCTTGTTTGTCGATATAATTTTATCTATACTGCAGGTACATTTGATGTCCAGAAAGTGGAGATAAAGAGAAGAGCAGAGGGTACATGAGATAACATGTTACTTTGTTCCTGGGTCACAGACCAAGGGTTGTAGAATAGTTATAATCCCAGAGGGAAGAGGTGGAGACTGTGAATTAAACACAACTGCTACAAGACTGGAGGGAGCTGGAGATGCCAGAGTGAATGTCGAGCTACCAGCAGGAGAGTATTCAGTAGTAGTCTATGATGATGAACAAGTGACTGAAGAGAATCCAGCTTACACCACCACTCTGTCTATCCCTGGTGCTACTACACCTGTTGTAGGTATGTCCTGGTAGCTACAGTGCTATGTCATAAACTGATGTGTTAATGTCGCTGATGCAGGCTGTGTGTTTGACGTACTAGTGGTTGAACCAACAAGTGACAGTGAAGAGAACAACTGTGAGTTAAGTAACTTTTACATCATCTGTTTTTTATTTCTTCAGGACGTGTAGTTGGATTGGTGATTGGGGTAGTCGTCGCAGTGGCTGTAATGAGTGTTGCTGCCTTGGTGGGATCGCTAATCTTTGCCATGATATACAGTAGAGGTGTGTATAATAATGATGTTGCCTTTTCAATGTTTGCCCACAATGTGTGTATGTTGTGAAAACTATCAGCCATAGACCACAATGCATGTGTTCTGCAGGCAGGAAGAAAACAGCACCTGTTGAAAAAGATCCAGTCAGGTAAACATAAACTTTGCAGGGGGCCTTCTTGCATGGTGCAGTTAATAGCTGTACAGTAAATTTGCATCCTGAATTTTTGGGTCTGCGGATGTGCATATTTGTCTTTCTATGTAGTCACGAACTGTTTGGGACCTAAAAAGTTGTGTAAATAGTAGCTAATAGCTGCACAATGTGTTTTTCACTTTCTGTTCTTATGCAAGCTGCACACCACACGAAAAACAACGGAGTGCTTACCTAGAGAACATTCTTTGTTCAGGGGCCAGGAATCAACAACAGAGACTCCAGCTGCTAGCCAAGACTCGGCAGAGAAACTATTTGAAGAGAGTTCTCCCAGTGAGGACAGAGAGTTGAAACCCAGTGCTGAGTCTAGCACTGTGTCAGACGACCAAACACACACCACTACTGCGCCTGATACCCGCAAGGGCAAGGTTAGCAGTACAACTTTTGTCTATAGTATGTACTGATGTGTTTTTCTTCTCTCCAGTATATTCAAGTTCAGCTCAAAACTGAGCAGAATGTACAAAGTCTACCATATACCAATGAAGAAGTTTTGTATTCAATGATTGTGCCCCATAATACTGCACCTTAAAAAGGTCTACACTCACGTAAGAAATCACATGTCATAAATCTACTATGTCAATTCCTTATTCCCATACAGGTACTGTACCAGAGTTTGTAGATACTTCCATAATTGACATAAGTACAATAAGTGTGTAGTATTGCAACGTCGCCACTTTAATTGTTGCAATCAGAGAAATACACTAATATATTATACTGATTCATAATCATCAGTGAGCCAAAGTGTGTTTTTTCTATATACAATGTTATGTGTTATGTAGAAAGCTACACAAACACTATCAACCAGCACAGCATGCAGAAAATTATTATAAATTTTTGGGTCTGCGGATGTGCATATTTGGCAAAAAGTAATATCGATAGCAAGTGACGATGGGAGATTATTTTTATTATGGAGATGCTCTGGGGACCACACTGTGTGTGGCTCAAGATTTCTGAAATATTTGCTATAATTACGGTGTCGATACCTTGTTGTATATAGCTATACTACTGTGTTTATAGTGCACATTTTTGTGGCAATTATGTGTATTATAGTCTCTATATAGCTATACTACTGTGTTTATAGTGCACATTTTTGTGGCAATTATGTGTCTCTCGAGGATTGCATCACATGACGGATGTAGACATTGCAGAATTGTTTGCACACCCCCGCCCTCTGCACACGTACTACGACTACGCATGCGCACAAAGCGCCGCAAATAATGGGCTGCGCGGTCGTCGCCGCATAGGTGTTCAGCGCTTGATATTATTTTCGTAAAACACTGGTTGCTCGAAAACCAGTACTGGCTTATTTTTTTGAAAGTGAATGAGGAATAGGGAGAAGAAAAAAAGGAGTATAAACAGTAAATAGAAGGAAAAAAGGAAGAAAGAGTGCAATACTAAACAGACAAAAATACAAGACAAAACAGAGAAACAAAAAAAAACCGAGCTTATTATACCTATACCGGTAACTCTTTGCGCATGCAAAATCTTCTCCTTTGTAGCTGACAAGAAACACGCCATAACCAAAGTAACTTCGGTTAGACTTATGCTTAGCCTTTAGACTTACACCCTGAAGTGACAGGCTGCGGAAAGCCTCGAGCGTACGGCAGAGAAACAGGTCCAAATGGGCGGTATTCCGGAACGGGGCAATTCCGGTCGCCCGCCTTTTCAGGCTTTTCAAAGACTAAAACCCTGACACTTTGGTCTGTGTTTAATGCTGAGTTTATGCATGTGTTAAAACATCTTTTTCCATGCGCAGATTTTGTAGTAAAACGCCTAGACTCAGACCACTCGGCGTAGCCCTTAGGACCTGCGCATGCGTATGGGTGCACGCGCGCGTCGGTAGCGCCCTCGGTATATACGCGGACAGTTCCGCATCAGTACACACATTATATATACCAGCACATAAAAATAATCACAGAGATGGTGGTAGCTCAGAGAACACTTCAGTCAGATTCAGCTGCAGGAAAGTCCTGGCAAAGACAGCAAGAAATATGTAAAGTGATATATTATAGCGAAATTGCTGCTGCATTACCTATCATAGGCATAGACAGGGCCTTGTTCACTGTCTCCCCTGGCATTGGCCACATAGAGTAGCTCATGTGACAGATCATAGACTGCGACGTGAAGGTCTCCAGTCTGGACTATGGAGACTATGTCTCTGATGGTGTTGAGAGCCGTCACGTTGCCGTGGTAGAGGTCCAGTTGTTTCGCCAGCACCTCACTGTAGCCTGGACACAGCCAGTCCATTCCTGCAGCATAGAGAGAAGCATAGAGAGTACGCAATCTCTAGCCACAATGTAACTATTTTCCTCAGTAACACATTGAAGGGTATAGTGTAGAAGTGTTCATAGAAACCATGGAATTGTTTTCCATATCTTTGCATGCTTTGGGAATAAAGAGGTACTCACCAATGAAACAGCACGGGTGATTCAGCCACCAATTTTCCTAAGAAAAACTCTACTACATACAGAGGAACCTTCAACATAAAACGACAAGGTTGGATCATTGGTTGTAGAGGTTTTCAAACTTCTTTTGAGTGTTCTTCATAAGATGTAGTTACAAGTTGCTGTACACGACTGAATGGTTCTGAATAAGAAGGAGAGCTAACCCCAGTAGACAATGTCCCTGATCTTGGGATGCCAGGTGGCCTCAGGACGGAGGTTGTCCCATACAAAGAAGTCTGCCACTGCTGCTGAATACTCCACTCCACGGAACTCATTCTCCTGTAGATTATATTATCATAGAGTGAAGTTGAACATCAACATCTATCACAATACTTATGAAAAATATAGGTGATTTGTTCTGATGTCGAGGTATGTTATCCTACACTGCACTCTACAGCTGTTGTCAATGCATTCCGAATGTATAGTGAAAACTTCCTTCCCCCCACTTGCTTCCTAAAAGTACGAAAAGTTTAGGCCACTTGTAAGAATTGTCTGCCACTCTCTAGCTATTCAGAGTGCTTGGTTGGACAAATAGTGCTATTTGTTTAGGCCACCATTTTTCTACTGCCACTTGTGAGAATTGTGCTGCACTCGATAACTATTCAGGAAAGCTAAGAGACCAGTCCTATATACTTCCTTGCTTGCTAAAGTCACTCCTGAGGTTCCTGGACTGGACTATTGATTAGGACTAACCTTCCCATCTCCCACACCCAGGATCAGGTCACAGGTTCGATGAGCAGACGAGATTCTCTGCATGGCTGACTGCAGACTGCTGTCAAACTGAATTATGTCCCTCAGTAGGTACTGCAGACATCCAAAGAAAAAGGAGTAAGGAATTTCTATGAAGTATTCTTCATACACATTAGTGATATTAAAGGTGTGTGTTATAGCTCCATGTTATGTTGTATGGTGACTTACTGTAAAAGGAACTCCAAATCTTGACTCTTGACCAAAGGTGTCATCCGGGAAGGACACTCCAATCTCTGAGATGGCCATTTTTTGTGAGGACACACCTGCAACAGAGCACAGTGTAGCTTATAGTGCCGGAACTAAAAGTGTAGATAATTATTATTCGACGCGAGGAGCAGTTGTCTATTCCTTAGTCTCATTTCTACGGGGCCCCTACCCTCAAAATGATGTCCCCCTAAACTGTGCATGTCACATGACAGCGATTAAGTAGTCGTTTACGCCTTCTCCTCTCTTGAGTGTTAATGTGTGGCTTAAACTGACCAGTGATGGAGCCAATCCAGCCAGTCCAGCCAATGTTAGCAAATGCATGGCCGTTGCCTTGCTGGGGGTGGTAGACTGTGATCTGGGGGAAGTTCTTGAACGGACCTACAGGACAACCCATCTCACACTCAATTCACAGACACAGAGATGGTACAATACATCGTTGAAGGGAAAGTGTCAGTGCACAAGGGCAAAATTTTCAATAGGGCCCAGTGCAAGAATGGTTTACATTTCCCCTTATAAACGGCCACATTCCATTTTTGGCAAATCTGAGACGAGAGATGTGTATAGAAGGTAAGATACCAATTGGACAGCACATGCAGCAGTAACAGCATGATGTTATCGTGAGCTAACCATCAACATCCCAGTCAAGAGCTCGTAGCTGCAGTAGTGTTCCGTCTGGTGTTGCACTGGAGTTGGCTCCAAACATTGAACACGCTCCCTTTGTCAGTTCTCCTATCATGTGGATCCTCTGAATCTTCTACAGGAGTGTGATAAAAGAGGCATAATTGGCGAGCGAAGCCAGCCTACTAGTCGTTTCAATGCGGGAATTTTCTATATGTTCATAACTATTGGTCGGGCGCTGTCACTACCGTAATGTTCTATGTGATCTGCTCGTGCTCACTTGCCAACAATGCGTTGCATTCCTCTTGTAGTAGGCATCCTACCATGGTCAAGTAAAGTTCTAAACCAAGCCTCGTTATAATGTGACAGTACGTAATGGCTAAAAATAGCAATAGGGCCCAGTGCAAGATCCTTTCTACACACAGTAACTGTAGACACAAGGATGAGCAGAAATATGCTGGTGAATATATGTGTGGTTGTGATGTGTAAGGTATATACTTGCCTTGTAATTGACTCCAGAAGCATCGGCTAGTCCTTTGATCTCTGGCAGGAAATAGTCTCCAGTGTATGGTTCAGTAGCTAGGATCTCCAGGTCCAGAGCTACATCTAGTCTGCAGTGTAGTGTAGAGTGACATTATAACAGTGCTCAGACGCAAGCAAGCAAGCAAGCAATGGAAGGATTAACAGTTTGGGATGCAAGTGGTTCTCTATTCCTTACAACAGAAAAGCTTCAAACGTTCTGTACAGCAAGGAGGGGAAAAGTGGAATGTTAAGCTTCCAATTCACCTACATAGAGCCAACTCACCCAAAGTTAGCCACGTCTTTCATAAACCATTCAGGGAGGAAGTCAACTGTGCCGTTCATTGCCTGTTCCTAGGAGGAAGCAATGCAGGGTTATCTGCAGCATTAGCCCATGTCTCTATTCCTACCACTTGTAGTTCAAAGTAGCTCCAGACACTGTTGAGCATGTCTTGTGCTCTCTCTTTCAGTAGAGAGCCATGGGCATACCCCATTTCATAGGGAGATCCTATCAGAGGTCAGTATTGTGTGTGATACCATAGTATGTGCACAATCTGACACAGCAGAGTCTAGCCATGTAGTCCTCACCCCAGACGTGGAGCAGATACACGAGATCATCTCCCTGGCCAATGGTGAACAGCTTTCCATTGGTGGTGGAGCTCACCACCTTGGGTTTACCAGTGTCTACGGGGTTCAGGTTGGGCTTGGCGTCCGGAGACGGCTGGAGGGAGAGAAGAGGGAGGGGCTGGTAGCGAGCGTGACACGCCCAGAGGCATTGACTGACCTTCCCATGACACTCGGCAGCTAGCCCCAACCTCGCACACAGCAGTACCACGAGGCACCATGAAACCACACAGGAAGAAGCCATTCTTTCTCTCCTATCCGAGACTCGGTCACATGCAGCAATGATCGATTATGCAACAAGGCTCTCACGCTGCGCATGCGCATAAAGCCACGCCCCTCTAAAACATCATCCTCTTGCTTTCACACAACAAACAAAAAGACACGACATTGTTATAAAATCTCTAGGCAGCAGTAGTACAGACAGCCTTGTACATGCCAAGGAGAGCGTTTGTGTGGTTCAGCAGTTGGTTAGCTCCCAGGTACACACTCTCCGACCTGCAAGAAAACAAACAGACACAGCACCATTATACTTGGCCAAAATCGCCATCATTTTGTAATGTGTACCTTCCATCTTTGAAGTATCTCTTGAGGGTGTCACTGAAGTTCCGTGAACTTTTTACAAACACTTTCTTGTGTGTGTCCAGCATCTACAGAAAAACAAAAACAGCATAGCTACACAGTATATAACACAGCCTTTGCAGCAAGTTTCCATGTGTATCATATCCATAGAGCATATTCTAGCGTTCATAGTGCACGTGCATCGTTGTGTTTTTTTGGTGCAAATTAGCTCATGCACAAGTACATGTATTGCTGTATGAGAAATGTGTAAGGAATGGGGGTTGCACTTTAACTGTGGTGCTCCATAGTACATAGAGCTAATAGAAGCTGGCACTTTCACTTACAGTACATGTATATAGCAGTACACAAACTGACCTTCTTGTACTCCCGCATGCGAGGGTCTCCTTGGTGCTTCTTAGAGACTTCATTCACCGCATCCAACACATCCTTGATGGCACTCGCAATGTCCCTGGGAGACAGACAGGTAATAAACGGCTGGAGGAAGTTAATAGAGCCTTGTTGTCCCTAGGCTCTCCTACCCTCCAAATCATATGCTGCACTTTGGTTTGGGGTTAAATACGGTCATAAGTACAGAGAGAAAGGGTCTGGGAACAAGACCAGTTAGTAGACTATAGCTATACGTATATAGTAGTCTTGGCTCAAAGGCTGATGTACCTAATGATCTTGAGAAACTGCGAACGGTCTTGTATCTGGTCAGGAATGTGGCTCAGCTTTACCTTTAGGGCTGGAAGGAGAGATATAAGGTCAAGGAACAATGACGAGAGAGAGATAAAAGTGGCAAACAAGAAGAGTAAGAGAAGTGAGCGGATAAAAAGAGATAGAAGACAGCGCTCACCTCGTGCCCGTTCATTCAACAGTACATACTCCTTCTCGTCCGAGGGGATGGTGTAGTGGTCCACGTCACGACAGGCTAGCTGCAGGAGAGCCTCGGGTAGGTCGACTCCCGCTCCCTCCGCCTGTAGCACGCCGCCCAGGAACTCCTCGGCCAGTCCAGGATGACTCCTCTCCGCCTGGAAGACAAACTATAGTTACTACGGCTCTATATCAACAACGGAAGGTCTAAAAACCTTTGTGAAGGCGTCTCTCAACGTCTGGACGGAAGCCAGCATAGTCTCTTCTCGCTCCATCTGAGGGAGATCGAGTAAAATTATCCCAACTGGTCTAGCCGTACTAACCTCTGTGAAGATGGGCTCCAGAACTGTGTGAAGGGCCAACGAGGCAACGACTTCTTTGGGCTCCATGATAGTGTGAGAATAAACTCGCTGCGGTGACAGTTTTGTTTACGCCGGATGGACGGGTGGGCTTCAATTGGAAACAGGTAGGCACTAATTAGGAGTAAGAAAGCATGTCGGTAAGGGAAGCGGCAGTTCTGCTGGTTGTGGGGGTCTTTGCTGGCGTTTGGGCCTCATCCAAGCCTGTTCACATCACTCTGACAAGCAACTGGACCCGTACACCCATTCTCCTGGAGGCTAGGTACGAGAGATCTGCGTCCCCAGCTCTCAATCTGTATTACTGACGATTTCCCCACCACGTGCAGCGAGTTTCTGTCGGGAGAAGACCCGTTGCTGTTCTGGGAGTTTCTGGAGAAGACAGAGGATCTGCACTTAGCTGAAACAGATCGAGGTTGGCTTGTTTTCTGAAGCACCTATTACTCTCTCTTGTCTTCATCTCTAACACTGCTTTCTATCCTCCCTAGTTATCCCTCTCTCCCTTTTTCTGCTCTTCTTTTTCCTGTCTTATATTCTCTCCCTCCTGTCTCCCTCTCTCCAAGATGTCTACGAAGCAGTCATGGATCAAGCAGAGCAGTTGCTGCCTCCTCTGGTCTTCAATTGTCTCCAACTCTCTCTCTCTCTCCACGCACAATCTCCTGCTGTCACCATGTACCAACAGGTTTGTACATACAAGAAAAAACATGTGTATAGCGGATGAAAGAGGAAAGAAGAGACTGATTTACAGGTAAGAGCAGTCACCCACTCCTCCAACTTTGTATTTCTTGAAAAAAGAAATGCGAAAAGCACTAAAGTGCTAACTCTCAGCAAAGAACCCTGTTTCTGCGCCATTACTGAAACAATACGCAGCAGCATTTGCAGGCACGTTTTCACACAAGGAATTTGCAGAACGATGATTAGTTTGCCATAAACATGAAACAGCATGTGTTAAATAATCCATGTATTGGTGTACAGGATAAATTGCGCCCGCATGGTGTTATAGTGCATCACATGGTTGATATTATGTGGATCATTATTACTTGGTCCGCAGTTGGCTGAAGAGAGGCGGAGCTCGTTGGTGGGCGGAGACTGTCTCCCATGGGCAGAGCTGGGGGGTAGGGCTTACTGTTCTATTACCGACTTGACCTCTGACCTTGGACCAGACACGCCCACCTCACAGTGAGTTGGGGGCATACATTATTGCTACATTCTTGTGGTTTGTGTAGTGAACTGAAAGTTAGTGTGCCATTTTCTGCATGCATTTTTGGTAGACAATACTACATACACTTGTACATGACTGCATGAGCTTTGCACTGTACTGCAAAATTGAACCTGATTTTCTGTCCATAAAATGTTGAAAATATCACATGGCTGTCCTTGCACATCATTTTACTTTTATGCTTTTGTAGACTTAGAGCCTTAAGTTTTAAAGTGTAAATCATTTGGGCGAAAAAGAACATTTGGGACTATTATCTCCCTGTTGCTCTGTCCAGGCCAGAGATATACTCATTCGACCATGTGTACCCTACTCCGTTGCTGAGTGGTAGCCAGTCGTCCCAGCCGCTGCTGCCAGTGGCTATTCTCTACTGTCAGTGGGGGACTGAGTCGTGTCTCCACTGGCACCACCAGCTGGCCGGCCTTGCCAGTCTCGGCTCTCTCAGATATGTCTTCAGACACCACTTCCAGGTCTCACTGCACATTAACAATAGTGTATGCAGTAGGTTTGGACTAGTGTTTGTGATGCATCACTACACAGGCTGCAGCTCACCAACAGTGTTCTACCTCTGCTCATCTACACTAATTTCTTTTCTCCCATATTGCAACTGTCTCTTGCAAAGTGTTGGCCAGTTTTTTTTCCAAAACCTTTTGCTGTGCATCATAATCATACTTGTGTAATAGTATGTCTTTGACTTGTGACTGGGATTGTTTATGGGATGGTGGTGTACATAGGTAGGGAGGAGGAGGGAGGGACAGTATTGTCAGGATATGGGGTTCAACTGGCCGTCAAGAACTCAGAGTACAAAGCAGTGGACGACACCAAAGTCGAAGGTGAGCTATGACCACAAGCATACAGTGGAACCCCTCTCTAAATACACCCCTTAGCTCATACGGTTTTCCCAATTCTGGCATGTAATTCAACCTCTCAGATAAGGACACTTCACTAAATGAACACTTTATTTTCTCTTATATTCCTGTGTGGATTAGAGAGGTTCCATGAATGTGCATTGCAGTTTTCTGCAGTCTCTCATGTGTTACTGATGTGTGGTGTGTGTCACAGGAGAGGGGGAGGTTGGAGAAGAGGAGGAAGAGGTCGAGTTGGATATTCAGGGCTTTTCCTTCCCCACTCTACAGTTAGTGGTACACATTACATATATTTCAGTTTGCTGTTGGCAGTTTCATAAAGTCTGCATAGTGGTATTTGTAACTCTGTGCTGCGTGCAGGTCTCTACATGAGGACCTGTCAGAGAAGTTGGAGGAGTTCAGACAACATCTTCAGCACAGTGCCCGTGAGATCCCTGACCTCAAGGCCTGGCAGGTTCAAGGTAAGATTAGCATGCAACACTTTACATACAGTGAGCCTTGTACAATGTCAGAGAGCTCTGCAGACACTGGAACACCTCTACATTGGGTGGTTGAAGTGTTAGCAAGTGAAGTGAGCCGACCTAGTAGTAGTCTGCTATTCTGTAAACCTACCTGCACTGCACATGGAGTAATGTGAAACTGGTGAAATTTAGCACTCCAATCGTTCGCCAGTGATGTGTTTTATGAGGGTGTCCCTTCTTTAAGGAGCTAAAATCCCGTACAAGCATCGCAACACTTTTTAGAGTGGTTCGGCAGAAGTAACGATCATGTGCATGGAATGTGCCCTACATGAAAACCATGAACAGTTTTTTCAGTGACGTTACATACATACTTTAGGGATGTATGTACTTTTCATGTTATTTAAGCTTTTAAGCTTTATTCATCTGTGCTACATGTCACAACAGTAAGTATACTGTATTCCGACAGACCTTGGGTTCCAGGCAGCCCAGCGAGGGTGGCCAGCTCTCCTCCGGACATGGCACTCAGTGTCCTCAGAGACCTCGTCCAGAACCTCCCCACCATGACTAGGTCTGGCTACTTCATCCCTCTCTCTCACTCTTCCGACATCTGTTCTATTACATCGTGTTCATGGGACTTTCTTTGCATGATTCAATTTTATAGCTCGTGAGTATTGGAGTCAGCACCTCCAGCATTCACAACACCTTATACTAGTAGCTGAGGGCAGATAAACACGACATACGTACATCATGCAGTGCCTTTGGTAGTCCCAGTGTTAAGTAAACGTGGAGAGAATGCCACAGGCCCTCATCAATGATAGTGTATCCCTAACTAAGATTGTTGCTGACGTGGTACCCGTTGATTTTGTCCCCTCTAGGACACTATCTCGAGTTGCGGTGAAGAAGGACCTGAGGTCAGAGGTCATATCCAATCAGAGAAATCTCCAGAAGTATGGGATGGAACCAGGAGACAGCGTCGTTCTCTTCAATGGCATCGTACTGCAGACTGAGAGCACAGATACCTTCAGGTGGGCTCCTATTAGAGCTAGTGTTAATGTAGAGACTATTTGCATTTTTGCACATGAGTGGAAGAGGAGACAAACCTCACTGTTTAATACAGTTTGAGCACGGAAAAGTAATATACTCTGTCTTGCTGCACCTGTCCCTTTTCGTTGTTCCTTACCCTTCCTCCACCTGTCCACTTTTCCCCTATCTTGCCCAAATCTCACTGTCCCCTCAAATGAGGGTGTCAATGATTCTGCGTTTTTAGTAGGCACCTGAGTTTAAGAAGACACAAAACGAACTATCCTTAATACAGTTGGAGTTCGGAATAATAAAATCCCTCTATCTTGCTGCGCCTATTCATATCTTGCCCAAGTTTCACTGTCCCCCTGAATCTGGGTGTCAACGATTTTGAATTTTTTGTTGGAACAGGAGAGTATGAAGAGATAAACTAAAATATCCTTAACGCTTTGACTACAGTTGGAGTACAGTAAACATCCTTTATCTTGCTGCGCCTATTCCTATCATGCCCAAATTTCACTGTCCCACCCCCCGAATGGGGGTGTTAATGATTTTGCATTTGTTGTAGGAACAGAATATATAGTAAGAAGAGACAAACTAAATATCCTAAATGCTTTGACTACAGTTGGAGTATGGAATTGTAACATCCTTTATCTCGCTGCACCTAATTTAATACGAGCTCAGATTGTTGCAAATTTCTGTTGATCATGTGTGAATAATAGCATACATGTACTTTACCTGCATTTTCTAAAACACTACCTACATATGAATGTGTTGAAGGTGCAGCAAGCATACATACTCTCTACTATGGTTGCAGTGTCCTGGATGTGTTGCTGTCAGAGTCTCATCTGATTGGAGGACTGACAGGACTGGGGCTGTCCGTGTCTGATGCCCATTCCGTGGTCCAGATTCCAGTCCACTCTCAGGCCCAGTCGTTTGCAGTCGACATGAGGAGCCAGTCTGTTGTGGTTAGCACTATCCCACTGTTCCAATGAACTGTCTCCCAGATTGACCGTACAATCTCTGTTTCTCACAGTTCATAAATGACTTGGAGTCTGATAAGCACTATGCTGGCTGGAGCAAGTCTTTAAAGCAGGTCGGTATGAACATAGTAACTGCAGCTGAATCACTGGAAGTTGTGTGGGGGAGAAAGTTGTTAGTGAGATGGACACTCGGCTTGTGTACAAACGACTGCTTAGTTTTTTGTGAATAGCTATCAGACTGTTGTAGGTAGTAAAGTTATTGGCTATTGGTGTGTGTTGATTTGTCGCCATTCAACAGTTCATGCAGCCTACCTTCCCAGGCTCTCTCAGACAAGTGGCCAGAAATGTCTTCAATCTGGTATGTAATTCACTTCAGGTTTGTTATTTCAAGTCTCTTAACTCGTCTTCTGTGTGTGTGTGTGTATGTGTGTGTTGGTAGGTGTTTTGTCTGGACCCGGCCAGCATGGAGGGGATAGAGCTACTCGAATACATGGCTCTGTTTATCGAGAATCAGGTGCCTGTGAGGTTAGTGTCCACCCACCTTTCCTTACCTCTTATGTGTACACATTGCTCCACACCACGTACAGTACACTGTTCTCCGATATATGCTCTCTACTCATTTTTCTCTCCTCTTTCCTTCTTGATTTTCTCTTCCTAAACCAACCCACCCTCCTCTCCTTCCTTGACCCTCATTGTCTTCTCTTGCCTTCTGCTCTCCTCTCTTCTTGCCTTCCACTCTTGTTCTCCTTTCCTCTCATTTCTACTCTCCATCTCCTCTCTCTCTCCTCTCCCTGTCCTCCTCTTTTTGCCGCCCCTTCTTTAACCTCTCACCCACCCCACCCCCTCTTCTTCACATCCTGAACCCCACAGATTAGGTGTTCTCCTAGTATCGGGGGAGGGTAACGAAGTGGGTGTGGCTATATCCAGAGGGTTCTACTACCTGGTGGAGAACCATTCAGGCAGAGAAGCTCTCCACTGGCTACTGGAGGTACGTATGTACCAACAATTATCGATAGTCACATAATCAAAATTGTACACCAACAACAGGTTATACTGTATATGGGGTTGTTTATTTGAACCATTTGTGGTCTAAGGTCCACAACAATTTGACGGTGGAGGCTTTAAAATTTCTCATGGAGACTGAGTTTCCTGATGCTCCAGCTGACATTTTGGCCGACACTTCATCTCAGGAGGAAAAGAGAAAGGTCAGAATTTAGTTCGTAACATGTGCCCTGTCGGCACTTAATCAGTGCATAACTGCTGTGAGTCATCATGATCAATTGGTCTTATTATGGTGTAACTGATTTACCTAGTGGGTAATAGTGTCGTGGGTTCGAATCCCACCTGGGGCAGCTCTTCTTTTTTCCTTGGAAAAAAGAGCCGTCCTGGGTGTAGTTGACTTGTTTGTTTTGCCTATGCCTTTCATGTGTCAACAAAAAGGTACTAGCAAGGACAAGGCAAAAGTAAACAAATGAACTACATCCAGGACAGCTCTTTTTCCCCAAAGGAGGTGCTGCCCTGGGTGGTATGTGGTACACAGATGTGTGAGCACAGATTTAGTATATCACACGTACTTATCCGTAGGAAGCAGTGGCCTTCTTTGGAGCGAAAGGACTTCGTTCTCTGCCACGAGTGTTGCTGAATGGAGTTCAGTTGGACCTGGAGGAGGAGGTGAGATTCACAAACATCGATGATGATGTACTTTGACCTATGTCAGAATCATGAGCCGCCTGAAGTGTGTTTAACTCAATTGTTCTGTGCAGTTTGTACACAATGCAGTGCATATGTATGCTGTGTAGAAAGAGTCTTCTTCTAGTGTGCTTGATAGTTAACCAACAATCATGAATATGTTGTAATGCTGGCTAGGACCTGGAAGCTGCTATCGTGAATCAGTTGCAACAGCAGACGTACCTTCTCCAGAGATGGATATACATGGTGAGCCGAAACTGTATTAGATATAGTAGTAATGCCTCTAAACCTAATCCATACACACTGTGCTCCTGGATCGGAGCTTCTTTCTTGTTTTCTGTCTTCAGGTTTCCCCCTCTAGTCTTCCTTCTTCTTGCTCTCTGTGCACCCTAAGTGCATTTAGTTTGCAAATGGGAGCTGTATATATGTACATCAGTGCTTCTTATTTGAAATTTAGTTTTCTCTCTGTGACCACTGCAGAAGAAAGTGACAGACTCCACTGATGTCTACGAGTATTTCATGACTCGACCAAACGTCCTCCAGAGACTCAATCACCACATTACTGCCACTGACTCCCATGAACCTTGACCTCTCTGCCGCCCTCCCCGTTCCCATTCCAGAGCTGTCTCAGTTCCATTCCCTGGGGTCCCAGACCATGTCGGCTCTCCTGGCCCACCACATGACCTACTACACTGGACCTAAAGGTAGGGTGCCGGGGTTAGGGGGCAATTGGAGGAGGGGAGGGGTCAGTGCACTTTTCGACCAATCAGCTTTCAGGCGTTTTTTTCACATCAATTCTGAGGACACAAAAATAGCGTGCAAGCTTATTGGCCGAATAGGACAGTGACTGGAGGGTAACTGAACCTGCTGCTCCAGCATGTGTGGCACCTTAAACAATTTTGGGATTAGAAGAAGGCCCTCTACTCTCTAAAACCCTGGGTGCTAAACAGGAGCTGTCCTAGGCGTAGTCGACTTGTTTGCCTTGCCTTGCTTTCTACCTCGCTACCAAGTTGTTGTGACATGCATGAAAAGTGAGAGGGTCAACTGTGTTCCAGTATTTGTCTCTGGAATTATACTAAGGTAGCCCACCACTCCCCTTTCATGCAAGTGCGGTGACCTGATTCACCTGTCAAAAAAAAAGTCTAGTGCAGGGTGTACTATTGATTTTGGTATTGTTTCCGACCACCGTAGTGGCCTCCAAAAATTGTAAGGCGGACGGTATTTCACGTCCCCCTCACGGGATATTGGGATAAGTTTTCAATCAGCAGTAACCGCGCCTCGGTTGAACCTCACTGGCTACGGTACTGCCACTGCGCAAAGCTGACTCCTCACTGCAGCTTCCCTGCTTTTATAGGACACTCGGTCACCAAGTGCTTGTGGTTTTTGGAGCTGATTGGATTCATACCCTCATCCTGATAACCACAACTATTAGCAACAACAGTGCACACAGGGAAAACTTAACCTCAGTTTTCTACTCATGTACAGATGTAGTGGGAACTTTACGACTGTGGTGGTCACTTTGGTGGCAACTATTCAGTTCATAACCATGTGTTCCTTGTGTGTCTGTTCTTGTATAAAATGTTGTCGTCCTCATCTAGGGCTGTTTTTTGGCCATAAATCCGTCAATTCTGGGCAGTACCCTGTGTAACCTAACGCAAACTCTGGTTTAGTGAACATTCACTGTTATACTAGTGGTGTGTTTTTTCTGTGACTGCAGATGAGTTTGCCGTGAGGAGTGTATCTCTGTGGGTGGTGGCTGACCTGGACTCAGAGCAAGGCAGATTGGCTGCCCACAGTGCCCTCTCTTACCTGGTATGGTACACACACCCTGTAGAAACTCTTGGTAACTTACCCAGTGGCAAAAATGTGCTACAGTTATGTACATGCATGTGTATTGGAAGATTTTTACCCTGAAGAGCACAAGTATCCATATCAAAGAGACAAATTCTGATCTTAAAAGTGATACTTGTAGCAATGAATGTTTGGCCTTACTTGTTTCTATAGGCTGAAAGCTCTGCAGTTCAAGTTGGTTTTCTCCACAATCCTCTGACTGGTAGTGGTGGCAGTGGTGCTTCAGACCTGGTGAGGAGTGTGGTGGCTGCTGAATTGAGGGGCTGGGCGACTGTCTCTCTCCTCCTCTCCCTCCTCTCTCCTTCCTCAGACTCTCCACTGACACTGCTGGCTCAGGTTTGCCGTCTCAAGGGTGAGATACAGTGTGTTTTCTTCATCGAGGCAAAAATTCATTTCTTTCGTTCGCGAAGCGAGCCTACCTAGTCGTCTTAATACGGAAATGTTCTTTATAAATTGAACGTGACGGGCACTGCACGTACCGTAGTGTTCTACATCATCCGTGAAACAAGCGAAAAATCAAGCTGCTCGCCAAGTGCACGAGAAAACAAATATCGTAAGCCAACGAAATCAGTTTTGCCAACTTTAAACTTAACCTGCCCTTCAGAAAGCTCGGAGTTTATGAACATGAAATTACTTTAGCTGTCTTACCTCCTCTGTCTCCAGCAAGTCAATAAGGGTGAGTCAGAGGTTGAGGAGGCAGTGAGTGATGGAGTGGTGGAGACTGTGATAGCAGCTCACACTGTCTACTGTCAACGTGTTCTGGGGCTAAGTGGAGGACAGACTGCCATTCTCACCAATGGAAGAGTGAGTCATGCCGTTTACTGGTGCATGCAGAATAGCATACCCTTGGACTGTGAACTTTTGTTCTTTTACCAAATTCCTACTGTAAATGGTGCAAAGATGGTCTTATTGGTTGTCCTTGCTTTTTTAAAGCTGCATTTTACTAAGCTATGTTCAGGCAACGTTCAGCAAGAAACTTCACACAATAGGAGCCTCATAATATAGCCATCCATGATGCTCCATATATGCTGTCGTACCCAAAATCTTGGTGTTCATAGTGCCTTTTGAAAAAGGTTTATGAGTGAAATTTTTACGTTAGCTCACTTTTTATGTTTGTTATACACGTGATGCTGAAGTACAACTCATGTGCATGCAGCTGGTAGGTCCACTGGAGGAAGACGAGTCATTCTCAGAGCAAGACTACTCCATGTTGGTTCAGCTAGACAACTCCTCTTACGCTCATGCTATTGCCGAGGCTGTGGGGGGTGTGGCAGTGGGCGGAGTCTCTCCTGACGAGGACACGTCGGCATTCCGGAGTCGTCTGGTGCTGAAGGTGTCGTCTCTCCTGCGCAGCCAGCCGCAGCAGAGACGGATCCCCAGACCCAGTCTCAATGACAAGCACAGGTTGCTCTGCTCTTCTTTGAAGATGATTTGTACACTATGCATGCTTTTTGCTGAGGCTAAAGGTCGGTCTTTTCACCTGAATGGAGGAAGAGGTTAACACTAGTACTGTGTTGCATGTATGCTGCGGACAAAGTCGGTAGAATTCTGAGAGCAAACCCCACAAAAAGTTATGCACTGTGTGCCGAGGATAGAAAACGGCTGGTGTACAGATAATGCTTGTCTGTAGTTTATGTGGGATGTCAGCAAAGCCCACATGATATAACTGTCCAAGGTGTATTAAAACTTACAAAGTCTAAAACTATTGGATGGTATTAAACTACGGTGTATACTGCCTGTATAACTCTATGCAGTGTGATTCACCTGCCGGCCCCCGAGCCGGTCCACCACGTCCTGATGGCCGTCCTTGACCCCCTCGACCCCAGTGTCCAGAAGTGGGCCCACCTTCTCAAGGTCCTCCGGGTGGTGTCTTCCTGTGACATCACCGTCTTCCTCAACCCTCAGAACAAGCTCTCTGAGGTCCCTATCAAGAGGTACGGATGTACACGTACAATTATGGGAATGTCACTTCACTCCCCTTCTTATGTGCCTGATATGACAGTGAACCCCCTCCCCCACTTCATATGTCAGCTCCTATGGTTGTATGCCTCCCCCTTTGTATGTGCCTGCTATAACAGTGTGCCCCCTCCCCCACTTCATATGCTAGCTGCTATGACAGTATTTCTGCCTCTACTTCTTTTAACCCTGCTATGACGGTATTTCTCCCTCTACTTCTTTTAACCCTGCTATGATGGGTATGCTCCCTTCCCCACTTCGTATGTCAGCTGGTATTATGCTTCCCCCCACTATATGTATATACCTACCATGTCTCTGCATTTATGCTAGGCCCCCCATTGTGACACTATGAGATGCTTAAATTCCTTCTATGATACTATATTTATGGCCAGTTTCTACCGCTATGTGTTGGAGCCAGAGCTATCCTTCACTCCTGATGGATCAGTTGCGCCGGGTCCCCGAGCCATATTCTCCCAGCTCCCTCACTCTCCTCTCCTCACCCTACACATGGATGTCCCTCACGCGTGGCTAGTTGCAGCCCTCCACTCTCCCCATGATCTCGACAACATTCACCTTCAGAGTGTCGAGTCTGGTGTACAGGCAGAGTTCTTATTAGAGCACATCCTCGTTGAAGGTAATTTTTCTAATGCAGAGAAGGCCTTGTGCAGAGAATTACATGTGTATATACGGTGCATGTGCAATGTGGAACAGCAGGCATGATCTGTCTGGACTGCTGGAGTGTAGCTAGAGTGTGTACATGCGTGCAGGAGGCTGTGCAAAACCATTTACATGTGTAACAAGTGGAGATTGCCTCCATCGCCAGCTTCTCTGATTCAACTCTTTATCATCCATACTCGGTATGAGTTGAGTTGGGCTTGTCGTCCCTAATCTACTTTGACATTCCTGTGATGCATATCGTAGTAGGGGCTGATTTGTTAAAGGACAAACAACATTACACATTGTGTGGGCTCTTACCAAGTTTTACCACTGCACAATTCCAGTGTCAAAGAATAAGTGTGTGAAATTGCTTTTGTCAAATGATTCAAGTGCTCCTGTACTCAAACTGTCGACCAGCAGTTTATACTGTAGCATTTGTTCTATAAAACTTGCCATACGTATAGGTCAGCTGTATGATGCCAGTAGTAACCAGCCAGTGCCGGGACTGGAGCTAGTGCTCGGCCCGCCCTCTCAGCCCAATCTCTACGACACCGTGGTGATGGCCAACCTGGGCTACTTCCAGCTGAAGGCTAGTCCTGGGGCCTGGCAGCTCCAGATCAGAGAGGGACGCTCCAGAGATATCTACACTATTGCTGGGTACATGTTCATTCCTTACTCCAGAGTGTTGTTTGCTTTGCCTTTTCTTTAAGACCTTGTTGTTGACACATAATGTGATACGTCAAAGGCATAAACTGTTAAAGCAATAGTTGAGAACATGCCCCACTCCAACTCCAGACGTATCTATTAATTGTACACTTACGGTGTACTGTACTTGGTACATGTGAAATCCACTTTCGGTGAGCTAGTACAAGGATCAATTACCTTTAAGCACAGCTGTGGACGAACTTACATGTACATTCACACGTGATCCACCAATAGAGAAATACTAGTGGAATGCTAAGCATTATGGCGAGTAGTAGCGAACCGATTGTTTCGTTCTGCAAGACTTAGACTTTGTGATTCACTTTCAGTGCTGATAGTACCATGTTCTTTATTCATTTCGTACACGTAATATGGAGGGATTTCACACTGCTGCGACTGTTTGTCTTTCACTCCACAGTCATTCAGGAGACGGACTGTGGGAGAAGGAAGAGGATCTGGTGTCAGTGACTGTCCGATCGTTCTCCGGGGAGATCCACATTGTGAAGGTGGCCAAGAGGAAGGGGATGGAGGGAGTGAGGTTACTCTACAGTGAAGAGGGAGAGGGGAAAGAGGAGGATGCTGGTGGCATGTGGGCCACCCTCTCCAGGTACCGTCTAGTGGGATTGCAAAATGTGTACATTTTTGTTAAATTGCCTCTTGGTTTTCATGCCGCTCGCCCTCCACAATTCCTATATTACCAGTCCACTGCCACGTGCACAAAGAGGCCAGGGAGTCCTCTCAACACACACACTTGTCCCCTGCTATATATACACATTGTGATCCACCTGACGGACTTTTCGGCTTCTTATAATATTGTGGATGAGATTAGTATCTTTGCGTTCCCATGGCATCATGAAGGGAGTGTCCCTCATACGTATGTGGACATGTGTGGCTAGACCCAGGCCCTGCCTGCGCCTGTGTGCGGTGACGCACCATATTCACAACAAGAGTCTATTTTCGTGGAACGTGACCTGTCCTCAAAAGCGTGAAATTTTGCACCACTTTCCTGCTGTACAGTACGTATATCGATGTGCACAGGAACGTCTTAACTTTCAGGTCTGTAAGTGTTCTAATCTCTTTTGCAAGTATCCATTACGTGCTACGTTCCACCGTGGGTCTCTGGTGCATACTAGCTTTGCATACATTATGTGTACTAGCATACTGTCTTACTCTTTGCCTATGGCACACTATACAGATCCCCTGCTGTTGTATACTTGCTGCAGTAGTGTATACTTTCTGATGTGTACGTATGTGTATGTTAGTTTAATGGGAGGAGGAGAGGAGGGCCAGAAAAAGGAGTCTACATTTGGGAAGAATGAGACGATCAACGTTTTCTCCATCGCATCTGGCCACCTCTATGAGAGATTTCTCAGGTACATACATACATAATATATACATCCCCCTCTTAACCATAACCTTCCTCTCTCCTTACCAGTATTAAATTGATGTGAGTAAAATCTCGCGCAGACGTTAACGGACACGAAAAATTGCTGACTAAAGGTCCGCGCGCATAGTTACGCTTGCGACAGCGTGCTCCACCAGCTTTTCTAACTAATTATTTAGGGAGGTGTTCTACTAAAAATGGGAGGTGTGTTGCAGTCATGTCACGTCCGATCAGACTCCCAGTCTGTTCTCTCGCTCACCTAAAGCTCCCTGCCCCCCCGCAGGATCATGATGCTGAGTGTCCTCAAGCACACCACTCATCCAGTCAAATTCTGGTTCCTGGAGAACTATCTCTCCCCGACCTTCAAGGACTTTATCCCCGACATGGCGGAGCACTATGGGTTCCAGTACCAGCTGGTGCAGTACAAGTGGCCTCGCTGGCTCCACCAGCAGAAGGAGAAACAGAGGCTTATTTGGGGCTACAAGATTCTCTTTCTCGACGTACTCTTCCCGCTCTCCGTGAAACACATCATATTTGTCGATGCCGATCAGGTACAATGTTTAAAATACACCGATTTTTGGTTGGAATGGCATGCAAATTGAAAATTAAACCTGTATACGCATATAATTATGTACATGGTCAGCAAACACTTGACATGTGACTATTTTGCCATTCCTAGTTGATTTCCACTCACCAAGAATTGCCTTTCAGAAGCTGGCCGTAATATCCTGGTACTGATTCCCCTCTGCATATTTGAAAAGCAATTTGCAGAGGGTTTTTGGTACCGAAGGTTCTATTAATGGGCTTACTAAACGCTCATATCATGTGACTAGATTGTGAGAGCAGATCTGGCTGAGTTACTGGAAGTACCATTGGATGGAGCTCCCTATGGCTACACACCATTCTGCAATGACCGTCCTGAGATGGAGGGATTTCGGTTCGTCACATTTATTTCACCATGTTTGTGTTGCCAACGATCACACCTGCTACTGTTGTAAGTGTACACTTCAGATGTTTCACACAGGCAACTTTCAGTGAACAACTCTCATACATTAGAAGATCAAAACACCTGCTTGTGTTTATGAAAGTGAATGCAGACATAGTAGTAAATGAAAGTGAATGCTTACACATTAAGAACCAGCCCATTGTAATTGTGCAAAGTTGTGCTTGCCCATTGTTCTCTTAGAAGAGAATGATCTTTGATATGCCAATCAGATTCTGGGAGCGAGGCTACTGGAGGAGCCACCTTGGGAACAGACGCTACCACATCTCGGCCCTGTACGTCGTGGACCTGCTGCGGTTCAGACAGCTGGCTGCAGGGGACAGGCTCCGTGGGCAGTATCAGGCCCTGTCTCAGGACCCCAACTCCCTGGCCAACCTGGACCAGGACCTCCCCAACAACATGATCCACCAGGTCCCCATCAAGAGCCTCCCCCAGGAGTGGCTCTGGTGCGAGACCTGGTGCAGCGAATCCAGCAAGTCAGCCGCCAAGACCATTGACCTGGTGAGTAACTACATACAGTGGAGCCACTGAAGGAAGGACACCTTTCTATAGCAATGTCCTTAAGAGATATGCTAAGTGAAAAAGCTATTATGCATAATCGCGCTGGCTTACCTCGGCCTGATCCACTTGCTCTGTGTACTTTGGAGGCACATGAGTCACAACGGAGGGCGTGTATTCACTCCAACATGCTAGCTATACTATTGTAGCTAGCCCGTGTCAGACTCTCCGCGAGCTACTAGCGTGGAGACCACGTTTATATGCATACTCATAATGTAGCGGTCCACACATGTGTAGTGCCCTGATGGTTTGCACTTCGGTGAGTAGTACCCTCAGTATGCTGACTCCCTTTTCTGCTTTTTGATGGACGCAGTGCAATAACCCACTCACCAAAGAGCCCAAATTGACGCGTGCCATGAGAATCCTGCCGGAATGGAGTGGATATGACGGGGAGATCAGGGACCTGCAGGAGGCCAGAGCCACCACCCCTCCAACCAGGCCAACTGCATCTCATCACAAACACTCTGAACTCTAGTACGTGCCTTCCCGGCTTAGCCATTGGGTTTCATGAATCATAAGATATTTCAGTTGGTGATGTTCTGATGCCAGCAGCATGCACTAACCCTCGCCTGCTCGCGACAAGTATCTCAAGGCGTTTGTCGCCTGCGCACATGTGTCTGCGTTTCTGTGTGTGTGTGTGTGTGTGTGTGTTGCAACACGGTCGCAGTGGTAAGGAGTGTGCGTTAAACAGAACTAACTGTATTTAGTATTATTCGCCAAAGACTTATGTAGTTTGCGCTTGACGCTAAAAGACCTGCAGAGACAAAACTTTGCTAACTCACCATTCCACAGCTCTCGTCAGCACAAGAAGTAGCCGTGTCACTACATACATCATCCGCCACTCCTCGTACGATAGCGGTACATGAACCTGCAGACGCAAACTTCGTCGGGTCGCAATTTACTTTGAATAGTGCCATCAATGGCACGCATTGAAAATTCTCAAAAGCAAAATTTAACTAATTGAGGTGCAATCCTTAGTCTCACATATTAATAGCTATGTCTAGAAGAACGGAACATGCATTATTTCTTCTGATCTCGTTTTCACTGTGAATTTCCCTGCAACCATGTACTTCTGACTCATACCAATTTCTTCATTACTACTCTAACCCTGTTATTTTGGCTAATTAAGTTATACCTACCGTGGTATGCTCTGCTGATTATGGCCAAAACCCTCTTCAGAGCATCACTTGTTTTTCAGGAAACACCAACTTTTCACTGACAAATTTCCCTCAGTAAAAAGAACTAAAATTCCCCTTGTGTCATAGAAGCACATCGGTGAGCTATAGGCTTTAGGGAGCATGTCATGCTTGACGTCTTTTTGCGACAAGTATCTGTTACCTTAGGCCTCAGGTGAGACATTTGTGATTGATACTTTAGCCATTTGCCATTTCAGGTGGGCATGACAACAAACAAGTCAAGAGAGTACTTTTAATTTGGTGGCTAATGGCCAAGGAGAGACACTAGCAGCAAAAACAGACTTTGCTCTTTTGAACCTCAGCAATGTTCAGGACCAGTATTTGTGAGTGCTTCCATATGCTCCTCTAGCTGACCCATAAGGGAGTAGAAGTCAGTGGTTTCCTCCATGTAATGCACACAAAGTCACAGGTGGTGCGTGAGCTAGTGAAACTAGTGTCTACAGTGCCATGGTCATAATAAAATTAAAAAAGTTTGTGGTGTTTGCAGGTGTCTTGGGTGTCTGTAGGGTTGCAGTGCAGTGATTGCTGCTCTTTGGGCTACAGGGTGTCTAGTACAGTGCTTAGGGCATAGAACTCAGGCGCTGAGCAGAACAGTGCCTTGTGACACCAAGGTCACCCTGGACACCCAAATTGCCACAGTCATGCTGAAGGTAGCTACCGCACCAACCACCTTTTTTTTAACAGTTAGCTACATAGGGAAAAAGCTGCTTACGATTTAAGACAGCAGTATGTTATGTTCAAACTGCAGCGTGCTGTCCTGGCTGTTGTACAGTAAACCTAAACCAGGGAGACTCGTGTCGGCTACGTACATACTTGACATGCCATGCATGTAGCTACATGTGACAGATATTTGAAATTCTTCATGCACTTTTTGTATGCATGACAGATACTTAAAATTCAACACGCTTGGGTCTACTTTTCGCAAAACTCATAAAAGCCTCAAAAACAGCCAGAGAGTTGTATAATATAGACAGACAATGGTACCACCCATGGTCCTAACAGTATTGGTAGCATTCTTTGTACATGCAAGTGAATGTATAGTCACCAATAGCTCTTGCCCGACTTGGCTGTACCTTTCGGATGAAGGATGGTGTACCTGTGGCAGCAGTCTCCTGAACAAGATAATCTGCAACAATGTCAGTCAGACAGTTGGTATCCAGAACTCCTTCTGTCTCACATCATTCAACCCTCACCATGATCCTGTAATTGGTCGCTGTCTCTATGTTCTATATCATGGCAAGTACATCGATGGAGGTTTTGGACTCTACTATGAAGTAGATCAGAACCTTACCCAGCAAGATCACCAACTCTGTGACTACCTCAATCGTGAAGGAAGACTGTGTGGAGCTTGCAAAGAGAACCACTTCATCTCTCCATATTCCTATGACATGAAGTGCTATCAGTGTCAGCGAGGACTGCCTGCTAATATCATCATGTATATAACTGTGGCATACATCCCGCTCACTGCATTCCTGGTAATAGTTGTGGTATTTCACATATCAGTCACATCTCCACAACTGAATGCTGCTATATTTGTGTGCCAAGCATATTCCATACCTACTAACCTACGAACTCTTACACAACAAGTAATGCGAAATAATAAGCCAATCTTCCTTCAGAATTACGTTTTTTTTTTTGCAACTGCCTTTGGAATTTGGAACTTGGACTTTTTCCGAATGCTCATTCCTCCAATTTGCCTGCCACTGACCACAATGCAGGTGATAGCTCTAGACTACCTGGTTGCTGCCTACCCTCTCTTCCTGCTGGTGTGTTTCTATGTACTAGTGACAGCTCATGACAGAGGATGCAGGCTAGTTGTGAGGCTGTGGAGACCATTCCTCTGGTGTTCTGCAAGAATCAGACAGCAATGGAACATTAGACATTCAATCATCGATGCTTTTGCGACCTTTGTCCTACTCTCATTCATCAAGTTTGTAGGCGTCTCGGGTGAACTGCTATTAAGCACGCCAGTGTTCAACATACATGGTTCCAGGATTGGGCACTTCATGTACTATGATGGAACTGTTGAGTTTATGGGTCAGCAAAACATGCCGTACTTCATCATTGCCATAATAATCCTCGTTATTTCAATTGTTTTCATACTGCTACTCATATTCTACCCAATGAAGTGGTTCCAAGTCTTCCTCAACAAGTGTCACTTGAACAGCCCAGGTCTGAGAACGTTCATGGAGTGTTTCCAAGGATACTATCGTGACAGGTCAGATGGAGGGTGGGAGTGCAGGTATTTTTCTGCTCTGTTTCCAATACTTCGAATTTGTGGTGTCGTCGTGTATAACCTAACACAGAGTGATATGAGTTTTCCACTTTCCATATTTATTGCTGCTGCAGCTATGTGTTTCATAGTACTATTCAATCCTTACAAGAGACAATTCAAGTTCTACATAAAAATCGATCTGCTATTCATATTATCCTTCATTGTAACTTTCACCAGTGTTTGCATAGCAACACTTTCCTTTGATTGGGATGAAATAAGACCAAAATTTGGCTTTGCGTCGGCTGCAGTATCATCACTTGTTCCTTTTGTCTATCTGACTGCATTGGTCTTGAAAAGCATGGTACAAGGCATTAGCTTTATCCAACAATCTCTACACTTGGTGTCGCAGTGGAGAGCGAAACGACAGCACGTCTTGGATAACTATGAGGAGAGAGCTTCAGAAAAACTGATACAATCAATCAGCTGATAAATGTGGTCGGTTTTTTTCCACTGTCCTTTTAAAACTATATAGCTACGTGTTAACTAATGGTTGAAATAATATTATGTTAGTTTGTATGTGTTGCTTGTGCATTATTCACATTTTGCATAATATTATGCCCTTCATCAAGTGTGTGCAGTAATTTATATAGTGTGTTGTGTAACGCCCGTCGCCCCAGACCGTGGAGCGCTGCTGGTCTCGCAAACGGCTCTCACAGACAGAGATCAGAGTCACTCAACATTATTAGCCCTCGGCGCGCATGCGCAGCGAGGGTTACGTACTTGTGGTCTGTCCGTCCGTCTGCCACCCCGCGTGACAAACAGGTAAAATAGCGACACTAACGGGTTCAGCGCTACACTGGCTTCATTTTTAAAAATGGCGATTTTCGTAAAAGTTCCGCGTTCAGAAGTTATGGCGTGAAAACCAAGCGAACAAGCCAATATGCTAATTAGCACTAGCTTACCTCGACCTGATCCGCTTGCTCTGTGTACCTTGGAGGCACAAGAAGTCACAACGAAGGGCGTGTATCGACTCCCGCATGCTATCTACTACTGTGGCTAGCCCGTGTCAGACTCTCCGCGAGCTACTCTAGCGGGAGACCACGAGTAAACGCATACTACAAATAGCCCAGCCCATCAATTAGCGGTACCGTGCATGCGCAGTTCGCCGAGGGTTTGCAGTTTAGTATACACTCTGATCTGACACGTTGTCAGCTACATCGCTATATATATCTACATACTCATACATAATGCATCATGGTTCAAAGTTTTTCACGCATGAGCGGGACACTACAGTTGTATATCAGAGCGTCGGTAGACGCTCTATCTATATAGGTATGACGCGAGTG